CGTTTAGAATAACGCACTGTCATCCGCGATTTGGCTCTTATTGCCTATCTTATATATGTTAAATTTATATTTATATATTACAGAGCCTAGTTAAACTCTTAATTTATACACGCTGGCTTAAAGGCGTTTATTTACCAACATTAATATATATAACAGAGAAAAGTATAGAATCGAAAGGATCTGAATAGCTCAGTTGGAAGAGCAGTCGCCCGGCAAGCGAAAGGTCTCGGGTTCGATTCCCGATTCTGCGACTTTCGGATCTATATTTTTCTCTCGCACTTTATTTCTTTAGGGGGAATAGGGGATACATGGAATTAAAAATCTCTTGTAGAGATTATTCCAATTTTATATCTTGGCCGTGTCCAAGTAAAAATTTGGTGCCTTGTGCACAGGTATTTAATTCTAACGAAAAAATTTAGTTTCGTTTAGAATAACGCACTGTCATCCGCGATTTGGCTCTTATTGCCTATCTTATATATGTTAAATTTATATTTATATATTACAGAGCCTAGTTAAACTCTTAATTTATACACGCTGGCTTAAAGGCGTTTATTTACCAACATTAATATATATAACAGAGAAAAGTATAGAATCGAAAGGATCTGAATAGCTCAGTTGGAAGAGCAGTCGCCCGGCAAGCGAAAGGTCTCGGGTTCGATTCCCGATTCTGCGACTTTCGGATCTATATTTTTCTCTCGCACTTTATTTCTTTAGGGGGAATAGGGGATACATGGAATTAAAAATCTCTTGTAGAGATTATTCCAATTTTATATCTTGGCCGTGTCCAAGTAAAAATTTGGTGCCTTGTGCACAGGTATTTAATTCTAACGAAAAAATTTAGTTTCGTTTAGAATAACGCACTGTCATCCGCGATTTGGCTCTTATTGCCTATCTTATATATGTTAAATTTATATTTATATATTACAGAGCCTAGTTAAACTCTTAATTTATACACGCTGGCTTAAAGGCGTTTATTTACCAACATTAATATATATAACAGAGAAAAGTATAGAATCGAAAGGATCTGAATAGCTCAGTTGGAAGAGCAGTCGCCCGGCAAGCGAAAGGTCTCGGGTTCGATTCCCGATTCTGCGACTTTCGGATCTATATTTTTCTCTCGCACTTTATTTCTTTAGGGGGAATAGGGGATACATGGAATTAAAAATCTCTTGTAGAGATTATTCCAATTTTATATCTTGGCCGTGTCCAAGTAAAAATTTGGTGCCTTGTGCACAGGTATTTAATTCTAACGAAAAAATTTAGTTTCGTTTAGAATAACGCACTGTCATCCGCGATTTGGCTCTTATTGCCTATCTTATATATGTTAAATTTATATTTATATATTACAGAGCCTAGTTAAACTCTTAATTTATACACGCTGGCTTAAAGGCGTTTATTTACCAACATTAATATATATAACAGAGAAAAGTATAGAATCGAAAGGATCTGAATAGCTCAGTTGGAAGAGCAGTCGCCCGGCAAGCGAAAGGTCTCGGGTTCGATTCCCGATTCTGCGACTTTCGGATCTATATTTTTCTCTCGCACTTTATTTCTTTAGGGGGAATAGGGGATACATGGAATTAAAAATCTCTTGTAGAGATTATTCCAATTTTATATCTTGGCCGTGTCCAAGTAAAAATTTGGTGCCTTGTGCACAGGTATTTAATTCTAACGAAAAAATTTAGTTTCGTTTAGAATAACGCACTGTCATCCGCGATTTGGCTCTTATTGCCTATCTTATATATGTTAAATTTATATTTATATATTACAGAGCCTAGTTAAACTCTTAATTTATACACGCTGGCTTAAAGGCGTTTATTTACCAACATTAATATATATAACAGAGAAAAGTATAGAATCGAAAGGATCTGAATAGCTCAGTTGGAAGAGCAGTCGCCCGGCAAGCGAAAGGTCTCGGGTTCGATTCCCGATTCTGCGACTTTCGGATCTATATTTTTCTCTCGCACTTTATTTCTTTAGGGGGAATAGGGGATACATGGAATTAAAAATCTCTTGTAGAGATTATTCCAATTTTATATCTTGGCCGTGTCCAAGTAAAAATTTGGTGCCTTGTGCACAGGTATTTAATTCTAACGAAAAAATTTAGTTTCGTTTAGAATAACGCACTGTCATCCGCGATTTGGCTCTTATTGCCTATCTTATATATGTTAAATTTATATTTATATATTACAGAGCCTAGTTAAACTCTTAATTTATACACGCTGGCTTAAAGGCGTTTATTTACCAACATTAATATATATAACAGAGAAAAGTATAGAATCGAAAGGATCTGAATAGCTCAGTTGGAAGAGCAGTCGCCCGGCAAGCGAAAGGTCTCGGGTTCGATTCCCGATTCTGCGACTTTCGGATCTATATTTTTCTCTCGCACTTTATTTCTTTAGGGGGAATAGGGGATACATGGAATTAAAAATCTCTTGTAGAGATTATTCCAATTTTATATCTTGGCCGTGTCCAAGTAAAAATTTGGTGCCTTGTGCACAGGTATTTAATTCTAACGAAAAAATTTAGTTTCGTTTAGAATAACGCACTGTCATCCGCGATTTGGCTCTTATTGCCTATCTTATATATGTTAAATTTATATTTATATATTACAGAGCCTAGTTAAACTCTTAATTTATACACGCTGGCTTAAAGGCGTTTATTTACCAACATTAATATATATAACAGAGAAAAGTATAGAATCGAAAGGATCTGAATAGCTCAGTTGGAAGAGCAGTCGCCCGGCAAGCGAAAGGTCTCGGGTTCGATTCCCGATTCTGCGACTTTCGGATCTATATTTTTCTCTCGCACTTTATTTCTTTAGGGGGAATAGGGGATACATGGAATTAAAAATCTCTTGTAGAGATTATTCCAATTTTATATCTTGGCCGTGTCCAAGTAAAAATTTGGTGCCTTGTGCACAGGTATTTAATTCTAACGAAAAAATTTAGTTTCGTTTAGAATAACGCACTGTCATCCGCGATTTGGCTCTTATTGCCTATCTTATATATGTTAAATTTATATTTATATATTACAGAGCCTAGTTAAACTCTTAATTTATACACGCTGGCTTAAAGGCGTTTATTTACCAACATTAATATATATAACAGAGAAAAGTATAGAATCGAAAGGATCTGAATAGCTCAGTTGGAAGAGCAGTCGCCCGGCAAGCGAAAGATCTCGGGTTCGATTCCCGATTCTGCGACTTTCGGATCTATATTTTTCTCTCGCACTTTATTTCTTTAGGGGGAATAGGGGATACATGGAATTAAAAATCTCTTGTAGAGATTATTCCAATTTTATATCTTGGCCGTGTCCAAGTAAAAATTTGGTGCCTTGTGCACAGGTATTTAATTCTAACGAAAAAATTTAGTTTCGTTTAGAATAACGCACTGTCATCCGCGATTTGGCTCTTATTGCCTATCTTATATATGTTAAATTTATATTTATATATTAATTTTAATATTAAAATGTTTATCTCAAGTGTACATTATTTATTTGCAGACACATATAATAATATATTGTAAAAACATTCTATCTTATACAAATTTTAATTAGAAAAATATTTTTAGAAATAAAAGACATTATATGGAAATCATTTGTTGAATCTCACGTCAAAGCGTCATTAAAAACAGATTTCAAACCAAAGCGAAAACTAAACCGTATAAATCCTATGAATCAGTGAAATATTCAGTATGCTTTGCAATTTTCATCAGCGTTAATTGCAATAATTGCGCTAAACAAAGTCGCGCGCTATTAAAGCGATTGAATAAGTTGCAGCCTCGCATTATTTTTCGCAGCAGGCGCGTGCGATCGATTTATCGGCCGCAACGAAAGTGGAAATAAGGAAAAAAACAGCTTCCTCCTTGTCTACGAGACCAAAAGAAAATACTAAACGGCCGATATATCTTTAGAAAAAGTGGGAAAAGCCGACGAGCAATCACGTGACCTTTGCAGAAATCGATACGCTCTCTTTATCCCTATCATCTCACGCATCTACATATCGTCGATGAACCCCTTAATTGCTCAGCGCATTTTCGGATTCATCCGTTTAACGAGAAAGTTAGTATCCCCGAAAGTTTGTGTACACGAATATTTGATAGGAAATCCACCATAATAACTTTGGATCTACCAGAGTTTGAAGAACGACTATTCTTTGATCCTTGCATTCAAAAGAATTACTGTACATTTCGTGTATTTTTTGCTTTCTAAATTTTAATGGTATTTTTATATTAACTTAAAATTAAACGCATTTGATGTTAATTATTGTATTTACCTGGTAAAGAGAATCTTGGATCATAATAGTTCGAGAGTTTTATGTTAAAAGTTGGAGTTTTTACATTGAACATTGTGTCACTAAAAATGCACATTCATAACAAAACGTGCAACGTGTTTTTTAAACACCATTGGGCTATACAAAAAATTAAATAGCACGGAAAATAAAAGACTCAGGATCAACATCTGTAGATTATTAAAGGTAACATATGAGTTTTTAAAATTAAACATGTGTCTTTGTGCTTACAAATGACACATTAGCCTTTGACATTAAATAGATTATCATAAAATAAACGTTTTTGAATTATGCGTTATACATTTGAATGCATCATCACACGAAAAAGACTGAAAACTACATCATTTTAAGTATTATCTTTTGTAACATTATATTCTTAAAATTTTTTCATAAATATTAACTATATAAAAAAGAAACAAAGGAAAAATAGAATTAAAATTTATCAAAATTTCTTTTAAACAGACAATTATATGGAATTCTTTTTTCTCAGATTTGATTAAAATGTAACTTTGGCAACGTAAAATGTTACGTCTGCAAAAGCTCAAAAGCAGCAAGTTTGACGGACTTTGCGGAGGTGGAGCACTCAATTCGCTAATGTTCACGTTTTTATCGCGTATATGGATTGGACATTTCTTGCACTTTATAACAGCAAATAACGGAGGCGTATGCTGCTTAGCGAGTTTACATGCGCACATACCAAGACACATACCTGTTTATCCGGTTCTTTGCCTTTGGCGGTGATTAGACGATCGCAATAACAGCCCTCCAGCAGAACGACGCCACTGGGTCGTGAACAGTTTTCGCTTTCGTAATAGAATAGCAAATTCTGTAACAGATATTACAGCCATCTAGAATGAGCTTGCTCTCCTTGCGAGGAAAAATGTGAAAAAATAAACAGCTGCAGAGTTTCTTATATTTTCTTCTTGGAAAGATGATATTTCATGTCATGGCATAATTGAACCGCGCTATACATTTACATTCCTACAATTTGCATATTAAAATTAATATTTTAATATACGTATATAATTTAGCTGTTTTAATTTAAAAATGCGGATAAAGTTTCTACTAAATTTTTCAGACATAATCTTCAGCGGCAGAAAGCAGAAATACGTCTGACCACATCTAGAGTGCTTCTACTGAAAGACCGCCTCGCTCGGGCGCAGGATAAAATGTTATATAAATAAGCTATCTTCTGTGTAGTAAGAACTTTTTCCGAGAAATATTCGAAACTAATTAAATTTTAATTTCTATAAAACTGCACGTACAGACATGTAGACGCAAAATTTATGTCGTATATCATGATTATAAATTATAACCGCAATGTTTGTTAAATACTTAAAATTGAATTCAAATGTAATTATATTTATCATTTGAAATAATAACTTGTAATATTTATAGGAGTAAAAAACAGAAGTTGTCAAATAACGCTCAGCTACGCGAAAATAACGCTCAGCTACGTGATAAAATATAATATTTACAACATATTTACTCGCTATTATTATATAAAATGAGTGTATAAAATAATATTATTTAGTTTACGTTAAATTCTAAGTTACATTCGTGTTTCACGACAGAAAATTCATGGATGACTATCGTAATTCGACATACTCTCATATTTCATAAAGCTAGTTACATTCCAGATAATCCGCCGCGTAAAATTCACATTCTTGATACGTGATACAAATCCAAAACAATGTTTCTATTGTCACAACGTGACGTTATCAACCAATATATAAAATTGTTCCGATCATCGTTTTAAATAGCATTGACACCATGAAATTCCATTCGTACGTATTTTGTGTAACACTCAACCAATTGCATTCGAGTTTTAAATCGACCTGCGCCGGTAAATTTGTCAGAAAACGTACGAACTAAATTATTAAATGAGGTGCTGTACGTCGTGCCGATAAAATAAAAAGCAATTTGTGACGATGACACTCGCGTTTCGCAATAAAGTTTTATGAAACCGAACTCGGTGAAATAGAGAGAGAGAGAGAGAGAGAGAGAGAGAGAGAGAGAGAGAGAGAGAGAAGATATACACTCTTGAAGAAAAACCCCCGGAGCACAAATCTTATAGATTAATTTAACTTCTGTCTCGGAAGTGGCGTGTACATTTTTATCGCGCGCACGAGACGAGAGTTTCATTCCTTTTACTAGTTTTTAAACACGCACTTTTTCAGAAGAATGTAAGCATTTTCTAGCGTAAAGATCGATTATAAGCGAGATTGAAGTTTTTTGAGCTTCGAGTAATTCAAGATAGATGACGATAAGTTTAACAAGCGCGTTTTAAAGGCGGTTTAAAGGCGCAAGAGAGCTCAAACTATCTCTATTATCCTCTATTGACTCGGAACGTCACGAGGAAAAGGATACTCGATTATCACGATCTGTGTAAAAGTTTCGACAAGCAACAAGCAAAACGCACAATTAATTTCACCGTGCGACGGCATTTCCGTTTACTTGACAAACTTTTGCAAAAGCAACTAAGGTATCGGATTTTATTAATTACCTCACTTTGCCTCTTATATTTACTTATTTTGATCGAAAGGAAAACATACCGCGATATTTTCTGTATTTATTCGATCCTATCCATTATTCTCTTGTATATATAAGCTGTCCCCGAGGCTTCTATAAGGTAAAAGTAAGTGTGGAAATCCCAGGATACTCGGTAGATTGTTTTTCTTCGAAACTAAAATTAGTTAAACGGTTGGATGATACGGTAACGTAACTTTTGTTGAAAAAGTTCAAACTTCATTAGCGATGCGATGACACGACTCTCGTGTCTTTAATAGAATAATTACAAGTTTCGCGTCTCTGTACACCATCATCGTCTTCGTCATAATTGAGCGGCTTTATGATCACAAAAACTATACAACGGGGACGATTTACCTATGACTTAAGGGATTATATGAGAACGGAGGGAAAAGAAAACGCGCGCGAGATGAAAGAGATGATCCAAATTCTTGGCATAAATGCCTCCGTCGAATAACGAAGTATCTGTCGCAAACTATGTCGTGAGCCCTCTTTTCTTAATTGTATTAGTTGGTTAGCCCGAAACGCCGCGAAAGTTAATGAAGCCTCATTTTCGAAGTTTGTAACAACCACGAGGAAACAATATCCCCGTGAGCAGTAAAGAAATTTCCGCAAATTGCGAGGAGGGAGCGTGCTTTATGCAAGTTCGCGCAAACTTAGATATTGTTATTTTATTTTAATGGCTATTAATAGTTGAAAATATCATGTCGTTTTCAGATAATGCCAACAAACAATTCACCGTCGAGCAAACTTCTTGAGAAAAACCGTAGTAATTTAATATTGCAAAATCACACACTCTATGGATTATAATTATAAAGCAATTTTTTTATAATTAATTAAAGATCAAAAAAGTAATTTATATCCTCCGAAGATTGTAGGTAAATTTAAATTCAGATTCTGATTCAAAAATATCGAGCACATAAATTAGATCATTCTGCTCTTTCCTCTCTCTTTCTTTTTCTGCAGTGCAGTGCAAAAAGTAAATCGCGTGCAATCTTCGACAACCTAGTAAACAATTCACTGACCTGGTAGAGAACGAACCATCGTTGTTGCCATTTAGTGGAATCAGCTGTCCGCTTGTGCAAATATCCTGACAGCAAATGATCGTAATGGGCTTTCTCCGAAAGCATGACTAACTGAGCGTCATTTACCCTCACTGTAACACATTATAGACACGTAGCGCGTGTTAATAGAGCACTTCAAACCGATGTATACATAGCAGTCCCCCCAGATTTAGGCAATGGATAAACTACGCAAGGAACGCGAAAAAACATGCAACGTGTGTTATTGCGCGAATTTTCACAAACATTTTTGCGACATGAAATTAATACGAAGAGCAAAATTTGTTCGTAAATTTTTACGAGAGAAACTTTTTTCCATATAAAAAATATTTTGCCAAAATATTTTCACCAAAATTATTTGATCGTTTACACTTTATCACGTATGCGCATTTGAAATATGTATACGTTTATTAGTTTTACGCTGCACATGTCGCAGTTTTAGGCGAGAATATTTAATTGGGTAAATTTACCCGTGAAGAGATCTACTAAGTACACAACAATCATTATACAGCAAATTGATATACCACATGCAAACATATTCGAATTGCAAAATTATATACGGGACATATCTATGCGTTTACCACATAATGTAATGCGCTACATCGTAATTATGCGTTGAGTTGTCACACTATTCCAAAATAATAGCGTCCAAAGTACCGAGGCGAATCTTGTTTACTGCATCATATGAATGTAAATATTAATAATCCGCTGACGACAAGCGCTCGCTAGCAAACAATATACTGTTCAGAGCCGCAGTTTGTTCATACAGCGAATCAACGTCCAATAAATTACGAGGTAGCTTATAATTGAAAGCATACGGCCGATTATTTGAAAAATAGAGAGAAAAATTTCGCAAGGGCAAATAAATAATTCGCAATTACAAAATTGGAAAGAATTCTATAACGCGATCGCGATTGATCTGTCAAACCTAATATTTGTACAATATATCGCGTGATAACGATGCGATGCCGTTCACGCGCATACATTGCATTCGGGTCACTTCCGAGATTTCAATCTCCGGTGACGATCTGCGGTTCCCTCAGTTCAGTCAGTTGCAACTTTGGCTTAACTGCAGCTTCTGTGCGAACGTAAAAGTCGTCCCCGGGTTCGATCGACCGACACGTGTGTGATGACGTAAATTGCGAGAAGTCGCCGCGTCGCAATTCGTGGTTATAACGTTTTCATAGGTTCGCAAACTTTGATGATCATGTGCTAACTTTAGCGCAAAGATACCGCGCGTTTAGGAAACTTTGTTCCACTCGAACAAATCGAACTCGAAGTTTCCCGCGGATAGGCGACGAAATTCCTATACTTGCCCGTATCACGCGCGTATATAAAATGGGGCAAAAGATAAAACCGTTATTGAAACCGATTATTTGCTATAACTATATATCTAATATTTCTAATATGCGGATAAAAAATTTTAATCTTGAAAATTGCATGAAAAATTTTCCAACAAACAAAGAATTTACATAAAACGAGCATTATCGCAATTGAGAAGACTTCAATGAGAGGAGGCAAACTTTTTTCAACGTAAATACCATATAGTATCGGGAACACATTAAACTTTTTTTTATATGCTCGGTTTTAGTATAATGTAAATACTGCGGTTTGTTGAAACGAAAAAAAATATCATCGAAAAATTAATCTTGTTTAATTTAGTATAATAATTGAGAACAATATTTTCTTATGATTAATTTTTCCATTTAGAGCGCATAATTTTATACTGTTTATAACAAATAAATAAATTTAAAATATTAATTTATAAATTGCGTTTGCATTTATCATATTTCATTATAATAACATCGCATATTTATTGTATAAATATACGGCAGTGATGATCAAGATTATCTTTTACGAAAATGCATAAATTTATAAATAATATTCTTCCGCGATTCAATTCCATTTCAAATTAATACGTATTTAAAATAAATATTGCACAATATAGCTATCGTAAAATCGAGAAATGTTATCTTTGAAATTCCAAATCTCTTACGTACACCGCGTTATCCATTATTTTGTTAACTGCAAAGGTGACAAAAAATACGAAATAAGTCTTACCAGTTTTTTGCATTTTGGGACTGAGCATGATCACAGGTCGTTAGCAGAAGAGTGCTTCCCCAACATTGATCTTCACAGCAGTGAATGATTGTCCAGATTACCTTGTTTAGGTTCCAATAGTGTAGAAAATAACACCTTGTGTGCTAAAGTTAAGTGTCCGAGGATGTATCTCAATCGGTTTCGAAGACGCCAGCTTTTACGTGGATTTATCGAAAGCCGCGCCGTAACATCTGCGAACACGAAAGAAGATTTCTTCGATAAGTAATGCATCGCTCGAGGGATCTATACAATTCTATATATATTAACAAAATTGTTTGCAGCTTTTACAATAGCAGGCCACGTGTGTGTCCGCGATTTATACAGAGATAAATCTTATTGACAGATACTAATATTTGGTAATATGTATTTATATATATATATATCGTTATGAAAATATATTGACGTCCGATTCAGCTGTTTATTCTGGCAATGATATGTTATTGAGTTTCAACAGTGAAACGCTCTGATAACGTTAACTCGTATAAATCATTAATTGAGTAAATATTGTTACCGAGTCGATTCAACATAACCGAAATCATTCACGTTACTAAATACACAACGAAAGTTTGTCATATACCGCGATGCGTCTACATAAATATGCTAAAACGCATCGATGCGTTTAACCATAATGTCGTTTCACGGTAATTGAATCGAAACGACATATAATCAGAGCTAATTTCCTAATCACGATCGCATTAATTCTAAATCACGTCGCTGGCTTCCAATATCTGTTGATTGGTTTACGTTTTTTTTTGTTTTAATATGATTATCAGGATTATTGATTTTGTAAGTTATTGTAAGTTCACAAAAACATGAGCATTAAAAGGAGAAAATTGAAGCGATGGCACACGAGAGTCTCGCGCGGAAATAAGATATTAAACTATTTACGATTAAAATCGATATTCTCGAGTATTAACTTAATGAAAGTGCGAATCTAATGATAGCCGTCTACCATTCTGATTGCTTTCGATCAAGTCGATTCCAAATTAAATTTTGCTTTGGGTACGTACATAAATATATTACATATTAATTTTTATTTTGAGATATCAATCTACGCATGAATTCGTCAATTAAATTATATTAAGTTAAAGTAAAATTAATTTACGGTTTTTTGACAAAAAATATGGTCTCTGAAATGCTTTAGAACGCATTAATAAAAAAATATTCTACGATATTATCGTTTTGCCCGTTTTATATAATTTATAATATGAATAAAACATTCCTGAAAATTCAATAATTAATATATGAGCTTGACAAATTAATTAAAAACCCTGGTCATTGTTTTACAAGTTTATAAGTACATTTATATAGTTAATATGATTAAAATAGAGAAAAGATTTGCAAGCTGTTTACAAGTGGAAATATTTGTGTGCTGCACATTATACGATAACTTTTTATTTAAAGCTTGCAAACCACGCGTGTAAGCTCTGGAAGTTTTCCGATACGCCTAGCGATACGATCTATTTTTTATAACACGCGCCAGACGCATCATTTAAAAATGCGCGTTTTCCAATTTATAGTTTAATACTCCGTTTCTGTTGTTCCATGATATTTTTAAAATGTAAGCATTTGCTCTTTATTGTACTTCAAAAGTTATTGGAAAAAATAAGCGTCAATCATTCAATTCGAGTGATCGAAGAAAAATGCAACTCGTGCTTTGCATAATTTAAACTTGTCCTGCCATTTGCATTAGCAAACGGATTTAAAACTTTTTCCCGATATATATCTGAAAAAAAATACTCGATTTCCAAAATTTTATATCGACAAAAATCTAAGAAGACGAAAAAAGAACAATTCTTTAGCAAGAAAAATTTAACAAAAGGGCTCAGGTAAAGTCTCCATCTCTTCAATATTCTTTAATTTGTGAAAGGCACAATTTTCCAGAGAGAATATCAGGAAGAGTATACATTTTGCTTTCCCGCAGACCATTGATTCGTGACTTCCAACGAAGAATAATTGATCGAGTATTTCTCAAAGTTCTATATCCGTTTTTAATATCTCATTTCTATGTGAAATCGTCCTCGTTCATTATCTGTCCACTGTGGAACTTTGCCTCGCTATCTCGCTCTTCAGATAGTCCACTTTCGACAGTAGCTTCCTTTGTCCATGTCTAAATCCGAGTAGATTCCCCTCAGAACATTTATCATGCCATATTGTCGCTCTCATTCTCAATATGAAACGTGTCGTTCTCCGGGCAAGTTCAATTACAAGTCTGCTCAACTGGTCTTGCAAACTATTCTATCCTGTAGTTTATATTCCTTTTCCCTTCTCTTTTCTCGTTCCTACTTTCGTGCGTTAAAGCAATCTTATTCCGTCCTTACGCAGATCCGCTATTATTTCAGCGTTCTTAGAGATAATCTCGTTAGCCTGCGTTAGCTTATTTTTAAGATCGATTTTCATCTGTGACTCGCAAGACAAACGATAAATATCGGACGAAAGCTTCAGAACCAGCCGGTTTTAATTTTCAGGCACTAACCGGGACGTTGATATTATTCGATTTGTCGGCGGAGACGACGTCCCGTAGCTGACATCTGTTGATTTAACTTACACACGCTCCTCTTCTCATGGTCGGAAGACCTCGGTTTTGCTGCGATGTTTGCGGTATTGGGGGTTGCGACGTGCCTGACGCGCGGAGACTCTCAATCTCCGCGTCTCTCTTGTATTACAGCTTCCAACGTCTTCTCTTTCTCCAGCATCCTCTTTCTTATTTGCTCTTGAATCATGCAATCTCCTTCTCCCCTCTGCAACATATGCTCCGCAACTTTTTGTTTCAATTTCGTAATCTCAAGATCCTTCTTTTGCAGCTCCTGCTGCTGCTTCGCGTATCCCTTAACAATTTGCACGTGATAATCCCCGGCGCCTTAATCGGTAAAAACTGTCAATCGAGATGTCATGAAGAAAGTACGCGAGATACTTTACATGTTATACCTTGAAGAACCGTGGATATCTCGTGTATCTTGTTGATGGAATGTTTGATATGCGTAGCGAGGGCGTGATCGATTTCCTCATACGAAATTACTTGAATCAATTCCAACTTTTCCGACTCTTCGGAGCACATTGCGCTAGAGTCAATATCATCCGACTGAATTTGAACGTTAACCAGTTCTTTCGATGAATGACAATCGCCGGAATTACTCGACGCGGAGTCTTCTGCAATTATTATTGAAATTGATTAGAATCAATAGTTGCGCGCACGTATCTCATCGCAGATCATCTATTAATACGCACTCGTAATATCGATCCATATGTAATAATATGCAATCCGCCAATGTGGAATTAATTCCTATGCGCGTCATTATTATTTAAACTTATGCCTCGGAATATACCTGCAGCCGGCTGGATCGATCCGTGTCCGGTATCAAAATCTGTGTTTGTAATCTCGCTGGTGGACTCTTGGCTGTAACATGCCACATAAGCCTTTAAGTTATCTATCTCCCGCAGACGATTGCGTCGTTCTAGTTTACACTCCTCCAACTCGGCTATGAACGCTTTTAAAGCGGACAACGTGCTCTGGACGTCTAAGCAAGTGTCGTGCTCGCACTTGTTGTACTCGCAAATCCCCTCATACGCTATCTTAGACTCGTCCAAATTGTTCAGACTACTTTTCAGCATGTCAGTCAGATTACCGACTTCTCGCTCCATGCAAATTAGTTGCATTTCGCACTGCGAGATCTTCTCGTTTTTCACCTGAATCTCATTTCTCAAGTTGGCCACTACATCATTCATCTCTACCTGAACACAATTTTACTCTATGTATCTATTTATACAGGGTGTGTCTAAATAAGTGCGAAAACTTTTAGATAATTCTTTGTCGAAAATTAAGGAGGGTTTCTTATACAAATATATATACTCTCTATCCCTTTCTGAGTTACACTTTTCTAAAAGGGAAGTAAAAATTAAGTTTTTATTTTTTTTCTCAAATAGACAAATAAAAAAATAAAACTTGGTCCATATTTTGTACTAATAAAAAGGATATTTATTACATTAAAAAAAAGTAAAAACTTAATATCCCTCCTTAGGAAGGAATACAAAGTATATGTTTATATAAGAAACTTTTCTTAATTTTCGACAAAGAATCATCAAATTTTTCGTACTTATTTAGATACACCTTGTATACTTCTCCGTAAGTCAATTTCACGTTTAGAATTAGAACTGATTACCGTATACCTATAGGCATCAAGTTTATTGACACAATCTTATATCTAATCATTTTTTACAAAGCGCAATTGACATTAATCCCTTTTATATATTTATTATTTTATATTTTACTTGTAAAATTTATTTTCTACACCTGCGAAAAAAAGAAGAAAGTATTTCATTAAAACATTGTCTCTACATTTTCCTATAATCTTTTTTTTCATTTAAAACTAACTCTCTGTATAGCTTCAATAATCAATAAGTCTGTAATTAATAAAATTTAATTATATATAATTTTATAGCTAAAAGCTTAAGCTTTTTTTAAAGCTTTTACTTTAAAGTAAAGCAACGTACTGACATTTTCAAAGAAAAACAAAAAAATCTGTTTCCTGTTACTAATTGAATTGACATTAAAATTGTGAGAATATGACATGATTAGACCAAATGACGCACCTCACGAGTGTCGGCCGTAACAGACATTTGCTTTATCAACATCAATAGTCGTTTTATTTCGTCTTCTCTATCCGCCAACGTGCAACTTTGTTCACAATATTGCTCTTGAAGTATATCCCGCTCCCGCCAGACATTTTTCACCTGCTCTAAAGCAATACCGCAGCTTTCCGCCTCTTTCGATAAATGCTCCATCTCTTTCACCTTCCGCTAATTTATCACAGTTTCATCACGCGCATTATATGCAATTAATTAAACTCAAGTCAAATTCAATTTCTCTAAGCGATTATATTACGTGATATATTATATCTCGTGTACTAACCGTAAGAGATTCGTTTTCTACGGAAATTAATTCTGTATCTTTAACCTCCTGCCTAAGTTTTTCTATTTCTTGCGATTGGAAATAACAAACTTGACATTTTCTACTTAATTCTGTCTTCAACTGATCCACCAGACACTCCGAAGAAGAAAGCTAAATAATGGATAGTATAAAGCATAGTTAAAAAAATATGTATTATATAAAAATGATTTATATATATACATCTTTTTCAGAAAATACATTAAACGTCTTACTTTTGTATTTAAATTTTCCACCTCGATATTGCGGGTATCGCTTACTATTTTCAGCTTTTCTTGCAAGATCTACGATATGAAATTTAAATAATTACACGAATTTTTAATTAACGCAGTTAATAATAAATACCGATTTACATTAAGATTATGTCTTAAAATATTTGCATTCTCATTTTCTCCTTTTAACAATGTTTGTAAATGCTTATTCAATTCTCGTAGCTCTTCTAGCTCATCTTCCTTCATCTAAATAATGAAGATGAAAAAGTAACATTCGCTGTGTGTAAATATATTTGTTACATGCAAATTTCGTTTCGATAAAAATTCCATTCAATTATTATTTCGTACACCGAGTTCGTTCTTCAAAACGATAATTTCCGAATCTTTTTGAATAATTACGCCCTTGTGATTTTTTTCACAGACTTCGGAATCCAAGTTCATCCTTAACTCGCTTTCAGACGTAGATGCACTTTCGCTACTTTCACAGTACTGACTAGACGACGAGTCGGCAGATTGTTCATCGTAGGTATCATTTTTATACTTGTCTGTTTGCACACCCACTTCACAAACATCTTGCATCACTTGATGAGATGCGTCCACGTACTCGATACAAGCACTCGTTTGATTGCCGTCCTCTGCAGAATTTACTATAGCTCAAAATGCAATATAAATTATACTTGAACATCTTTTTAAAACTGACCGAAGAAAATTGTTTCGTAAAAAGAATTAGTTTGACATTTCATTTTAATTTTTGACCAGTGAAAATTCTTTGTAAAATAACTTTTATGTTGGAAATTAAATTTTTTTACCTCGCGCGGCTCTCGCTTCGGTTAATATATCGCAAGATGTTACGCGCGATATCAGGTAAGTATTATTTTCCGATAATGGTTTTGTGTTCAGATTCTCTCTCGAAACGTACGAATTAGTTAGCAAAAAATTATGGATTCCTCTACCGTATCGAAATCTCCTATCAGGGCAAAAATACATCGATAGATACGTGTCGGAATGTTGTGAAGCAGCAATCTTATTTGCATTAAACGATCCTTCCTGAGAGAGCGGTCTTATTATAGCTTGGATCTTCATTTCTTCTTCATTAATTACCACGGTAGCTTTGTCCTGCAACGGAGGACTATTGTAAACCCGACTCTGTATAGGATTAGCGCGATTTAATATGCGCATTATTTAAAAGAAAACTTACGAAATTCTCCAGGTACTTCTGTTGTTCCGAAGTAAGCTTCAGGGATTTATATTTTCGCAGTTCTCGCCGCGCAACGCGAAGCTCATTTTGAGCTTGAGCCGTAAGTCCTATCATATTTTCCATCACCACATTAAATGGTACCACTCTTCCTGGCTGTATAATACGCATTCTATCTTTGTTATTTGCTAATGTAATTCATTTAATGAATACGTATATAAAAAGTGCGTGCTGAATAATACGATATAATGTGCTGATTAATATGCATGCTAAATTTCTGAACGGGATATAAACATGAAATATAAATATGATAAGCATTCCACTTATTTTTTCCATAATCAATAACGGTCCATATTTCAAGATTGCTCATTAAAAAATTTCTGAACTTTTTAATATAAAAATAATTACATTATATATATGTATGTGTTATATCTGTGTTTATACGTTGTAAAGTATGTAAATATTTATTTTTAATAAATAATAAGTCGCGGTGTGTATTCTGAAAGAAAATTAGAATATTCGATAATTAAGAAAACAAACCGCAGGATCATGTTCGTTGAGCTCGCGAAAGTAACGCGTACTCTCTAAGATGTTTGGACTCCAAGCTCGGACATCCGTGCACGAATTGTACAACTTCAAACGACCCTCCGATCTCTTTTTCGGCAAGACATAATCCCCATAAGTCAAGGGTACACCACTACTTGGTCTGCCCGCTAAAAAAATGCGCGGTCCATGCTCGGCGTAAGACATATCTGTCCCCGGTATTTTAAATCCCTCTCACGATCGGATATGTACAAGATTTTCGTTTCTTCCTTAAGCTTAATAAATGACCCACGCAAGGTTACAAATTTTGGTGTTGACTGTATTTTATTTATACACCATAGTAACGAGAAGAGACATCTCGATACTCGGGATAATGAGAGGAAACGTGTGGAAAATGTCGTGGAATTTTATACGGAATTTTATAAGCATAAATAAGAGGGTAAGTTAGAAAATACAATAAAATATCTTTATTTTGTAAGCTGCCATTAAGAATTACAGCGTTAATAAGTACTTTCGTCCTCGTAATGTATTAAGTATCTCTTATTTATACTAAGAACTACACGACTATTGCGTAAAATATATATCTAATTCCATCTCATGAAATCTAATTTAGCACTGACACCCCTCCACGTAAACAACTACGGTTCGATGAAGCACTAAGTACGAATGAAAAAGAATTTCTTACAAATGTGTCCAGTTCGCACTCTATTTGGTTAAGTACAGAAATGATTTCTCGTCTAGAGAAACGAAATACATACAGATTAAACCTAAGATCATCTTATGATAATTCTCTAAGTCATTCTTTCGTTGAAAAATCACTCTCTAACTCGCATACCATACCTATTTTCCCTAAGAAAGACATCCCTTTTTAATATCATACATGATCTGTGACATATGAATGTCCGAGCTAAGAGATAAGAACATTCGAGAAATAAGAAAAAAAACATGCAAAATATATATTAGCGATACATTCGAGGGAATTATGCGATTAATAATTTGGCAATCGATAGGCCTGTTAAAAATGCGCTTATCGCGGAAGTCCAAGTGATATCTTGCGATTACGATAAACTGACACTCAATAGAGAATAATCTAGGGGAGATATTTATATATACACACATTCACACACGTCTTTCCGAATTAAGAAGTAGAAAAAGTGGAATCGAGTGCATATAAAAATAGATTCGCGCATAATTATGAAGGCAGTATAGATTTCTTAAAAATGGTACTCTCGCTCTCTTCTCGTTTTAACGATGTAAATATACATATAATTAGATTTCAATAATGTTTCCTAACATTAATTCCACTTTGATAAAGGCACACAAGATATACAAACAACAATATTTTACACATGAAAATATGATCGTTATTTTCCTGATATTTCTATATTCGATACCTACCCGCCTAAAACGCATTTCCTCAGTCTGCAATTGGATAACAGATAACATAGATAAAAATGAAATTAAAATTCAAAAACTTCAACAGTCTAAGCATGAGGTGGGGAGTAGACGAAGTAGATACACGAATAGACTGCATTATAAAAAAAAGGAATGCTTATATCATTTTTAAAAGTAGCTGGAATGATGTATAATGTAAGGCCACTTTTTTTTGTAGACGTTATCATATCAGACTACAAAAAATTTATATCAATTTTTCTGCTATGAGATTATCGATCATTATTTACATTAATATAAAGGCCCCTTTCAGTCGAGACAAAGTTGTTGAGTCCCATTTTTCTGTGCATTATGTACAATCAAGTATCATTAATGAGCATCTAGATGAACAGTAAATATTACCCCAATTTGAAAAATATCCATTATAAAAAATCATCCATTTCATCCATCTTTTTAAGTACATTATTAGTTTCAAATAATTAATTACTAAATGAAAAAATTATAATACTTTGAATAATACAGTCGATATCAAATTATCTGTCGAGTAAGTAAGATAAATAATACTTTATAAAATAAAGGAGAATTTAATTATTTCAGACTTATATAATTTTTTTATGATTATTCTTTGATTATATGTAGGAAATAAAATACCCTTTTTTCAAATTTCTTCTAAAACTAATAATGTTGAATTGCTCTTGATTAGTGTTATTCGTAAATGTAAAGAAAATATTTTGATCAATGTAGCTATACATTCAACTATCGAGAAGAAATTCAATGCGATCGTGAAAGGCACTAGAGTATAAATATACTGTAAAAAAATACAATGTGATATAATCCATTGCTTTCTCTCTCATCTATAAGATATAACGTCATTAGAATAACAATAATGTATAAGATCAATGATTCTACAATTGCTCTGTTTCTCATAATAAGAAATACGACGTTCTTCCCCACGTATTTTTTTTTGGAATTTGCAGAAATATCGATTTAATCAATCGCACTTTTTTCTGTACATTTACCTTATCTCGATTCTTTATAACTAGATCTGCTAGATTTTATGATTCTTACATGCAAGGCATGATATTTATCTTTCAGAGTCAAAGCCATAGAATAACATTAGTTATTCCAAAGTATTGATTTTATAGGTCGAAGACACTGTTATACTGACTAACGAACAAACACTCCTCGCATTAATCAACTTGTCTAAAAACTTCATAAAATTCCAGGATCAACGTGATTATTGTCGTGTATACGTGTTTCTGTATAAAGCCTTATTCCTAGACAACTTCTCTCGCGAGCAAACATTAGCGGACGCTATTAAATTGAGCATAATTTAACCCTCTGTCAACGAATTCTGAGTCACTTATGACCTATCTTAAAAATGTTTTATAAAACTCGTGCAAAAAAAAAAATTTTTTATGTGTATTATACAAAAATATCAATAATTTTTATTGTTTGAATATTTTTAATTATTGCATAGTAGTATCTTAAGGAAAATATTTGAAAATTTTATATATATATATATATATATGTATATACAAAGCATCCTTTACAACGCTCGTGAGCAGATAGAGCCACAGAAAACTGATCAGAAAAGTCTTATACCATTTTCCGAAATTTGCAATGTTTATTGAGTTAGTAATTAAAATATCTAAGTGGGCATGTCGGATGGCTTATTTGTTTATACCGCTTAGGTATAAGCCATCCCGCTTATTTGCTTAGATATTTTAATTACTAACTCAATAAAAAGTGTGAATTTCGTAAAATAGTATAAGACTTTTCTGTTCAGTTTTCTATGCTCTACCTACTCACAAGCGTTGTAAAGGATGCTTTGGGACACGTATATATAAATATATATGTATATATCCTAGATTATAATTCATAAAAATTTTTAATTTAGGATATGTAAATTTTGCTATAGATCAAAATTGTGACTCAGCTTTCGTTATGCGCGACCATCCGTTATCCAAGGTAATCCTTGAAATTAATCATTATCAATCTAGAGATGTAAAACACCCTGATCGTGACTGTAATTTTGATGATGGTGATGATGGTGATAGTGATGGTGTTGAGCAGACGACGCCGAGGCGTCGTCCTGCATTGTCAAACCTGTAAGATCGACAATCTCATCCGCCTCCTCATCGCTACCAGCGCTTTGCGTGGACTGATGACTTCCCGAAGACAATTGACTATTACGTGAGAACGAACCGCGGCGAGGTGCAGCCAACGCTGCCCTCTGATTTGCCGGTTTGACAGTTATAATGAGATTGGAAGAATTCGCTATCATCATATCCGTCACCTATTCCATACATAAATAACCGTATAAAAAATAGGTGAATTACTATAATATATCCTATACTACCTATACTTCATTTTTACAAGGCAATTTTTAATTATTTTAGAGAATGTTTTAAATATGCTACAAAGAGTGCTCCAATTATTTTACTCAAATAGCAACAATGCATATAATTGCATAAATTAGCATAAAAATATGCTTTAAAATGCATTTTGTAAAACAAATTATATTTAGTAATTTAATAATTTAATATATTGCTTTTATAAAAAATTATTTCTATAAAAAATATTATTTACCTGATCAAGTGTTTTTCCTGCAACCTCTATTCCATTCACTTCCAGGACCTCATCATTTACAGCTAGAAGTCCTGTGCTCTCTGCTAAACCACCTGGTACCAATCTGCTGATAAACACACCTGGAACTTTCTCAATTCCCCCTCCAGCTGACGATGGCAATATGCGAAAGCTTTCACCATCTTTAATGTAAAATCCTAGAGGCTTATCAGAACCATGTTTCAAAAGACGTACACGTCGACAAGTTTCTGGCAGTATGTCGACATCAATAATTGCGGACACCTGATTGCAAAAATAATTATATGCCAAGTCAGTTGATATTACGAAGCACATGAGAGAATAATCAACAAAGTGTAAACTTACCTGCCTAAAATCATGTGGATTTGAAATAGCAATAGATTTTGGCTTTCCTGGCGTACCACCCAGGATACTGGATATCAGATTTTTGGGTTTTATTGTCCCATATCCATTGTCCCATGCTCCGTCACCTGCCCCACAATAATTAAATTAAATATATAACATATACATACAGATTCACCAAATATATGCAAAACCACTGTATATATGTGAATAATTTTACCTTTTCTCTGTATAAAAATTCGGAGCAGACACCTGGTGGCCAATAGAGCTCTAGCCAGATTGTTATCATTATTGATGGGAAGTAGATCACCATCTGTATCCGTATACCAAATTAAAAAGTTAAAATCTGCCCCTAAATCATGCCGTTGCGCCAAAAGTTTGCCAAATTCCTCGTAACTCACAGGCTCGTTACGATTGATGGAAAATCTGATGATGTCGGCGTCGAACTGCAAAACAATTTAAACAATGCGCTATTGAACATCCGACAAAAGTCATTCTTCATCAACGATCTTTCTACTCACTTTGCTCTTCACGGCGACGATGCCGTTGTCCACCTTGTCGTGCTTCTTAGACATAGCAGCGTAGAAATATAACAAGTATGGACACACTTTCGCGCTGTCGACACCTTTAATTTTGGCAACGAGCTTGAATGAGCTTAGATCATTGAACTCATATAGAGTTCATTCTGCATTCAAAACATGCATCTTCATCTCTTTCACAGGTTGCAGCACTGAGCAAATTTTGTCCGCTTGAAATGCTCCAATCAGATCTCGAGGAGATGACATCATCAGGTTTCTATTGGATATGGCTAAAAATTCCTAGAGATGGACAAACGAACAAATTGTTTTTGATTGATCGTATCACTTTAATTTATTATCTATGCTCGAACGTTGTTATACCACAGATTAATAGACAGATCGCCAAAGGCCTGCCTAAAGAAGAGACCGCCATCTTCGTGCGATAGACTTTGCCCCTTACCGACACACTTTGCCCCTGGTTCGAGTCCGTGCTAAATTTCGTAGACTTGAACCAAAAGACTTTGCCCCTGGTTCGAGTCCGTGCTAAATTTCGTAGACTCGACCAAAAGACTTTGCCCCTGGTGCAAGTCCAGGCTAAATTCGTTTGACATTACCAACAGACTTTGCCCCTGGTGCGAATCCAGGCTAATTGATCATGAGACCAATTTGAGAGATTTGGCCCCCGTTGTGTGTGTGTGTGTGTGTGTGTGTGTGAGAGAGAGAGAGAGAGAGAGAGAATATTTTACATATATGCATATATATATATAAAATTTATTAAATATAAAAAATATATTTTTTACACATAAAATGTTTTTTTATTGAAATAATCACGATTTTAAATGTGATATAACACAGTGTTCAAAAATTTTTAATTAAATTTTTTAATTAAATTTTATTAAAGAAAATTACTTGAAATTTTTTACATTAAGAATTTAAAGGCTCCTTATTCTCTTGTAGAAATTTATCACTACGCCAATTAATCACTTATTTTGAGTATTTAAAATACTATAATATACAGTAATTTAAGTATTCGAAATAAAAGTGATTAATTACTCGAAATAAGTGATAAATTGGCGTTACTAGTAATAAATTTCTATAAGGGTTGAAATAAAGTATAAGAGATAAATAGGCTATATGTGAGCCGTATGCGAAATGTGAGATGTAAGACGCATATTGAAATTTAATTTTTCGATATAACTTTCAAAAATGTACACGAGGTACAAAAAATTAGCTTGGACATTTGTAAGACTTAAAATTGGGATTAATTCTCAATTCTATTAATTAAATTTCGATATAACACACCTTACATCCGCGCACGGCTCACATATAGCCCATTTATTAGTGCAATTTTTAAGTTCCTTATTTTTCAAAGTTCACCTTTTTACGTTATCAAATATTTTTGGTACGTTTTCAAGAATTTTATATTTTTACTTACCGCAGTTTCTTATCCAAATGTAAAATCTTTTATCGCAGTCTATAAAAAATTGAAACAATTTACAATTTTATGATATAATATTATTATTATTACAATTTCTATATATATGCACATCTGTCAAATATCGTGATTTATTTCACATTATTATTATCTATTTTAATAAAAAAAAAAAAAAACACTTGCAACAATCAAAAATAAACCGCCTGCCGCGAACGGAAAATGCCAAGAAAGCACGCAATTTCCGCGAATCTCGTAATTTTTTTGAAAAATCAACAATTTCAACGAAATTGTAAATTCTTCAAATCACTGCACAAGTATAATTCACAATAATAATTTTCAGTAACTACGATAAAAAATCGTATACTGAAAACCGCAAACGAAAGTGCAATGGGAGTAAGAGTAAAGTCTGTGATAAAATTAATTGGCAATAGAAAATTAATAATTTTCAAATAGAAAAATTTTGAAATTACCGAGGATTTACAAATAATAAAGTAAAAATATTAAATAATTTATGTTTTCGAATTTTGCTCGCGGAGAGGATCTTTAAAACAAGATTTTTAGAAGAGAGGACCTTTAAAATATAAACAGGCAAAAACGTTGGAAAAATTAAAGCGCGCGTTTAAACAGATAAACGCAATGAAATAAATACGCAATTGTTTTTACTTATCGCTGTAAGCTCACAAGCTTCTGACGTGCTATACACTTTTATATAATATATACAGGGTGTCCGGTAACTAACGGACCAATGATTAAGGGCGGATTCTCTGGCCAATTTGGAGACGATTTTTCCTTAGCAAAAATGTTGAGAAGTCAATAATTTTCGAGTTATAAGCGATTGAAAAAAATAGGTTTTTTGAAAACTAAACGTTTTGGAGTTAAAAGTCTAACATAATTACATTCTTCAGTTAATTTCAGGTAGAGTTTACTATAATAAAATTTTAATTTAAGGCTTAGTTATAAAGATACATAATGACAAAGATTGGAAAGTTGTAAAAAATGATGACCTTTTTCGACATTTTCGCTGAGGAAAAATCGTTCCCAAATTGACCAAAGAATCCATTTGTAATCATTGGTCTGTTAGTTACCGGACACCCTGTATATTGGACACGAGTTTCGTTTGTTTCAGATTCTCGAGAGTTGAAGTAGGAACATACGAGTATCATATATCGTTTGTGACTTGCCGAATGAAAGCAAGACAGAGAGCGAACGAGATGATGAGCTTAATAGCTCATAATGTTATAAATAAATAAATAAAAAATTATAACCTGACCTACTAGTTATTGAATCTTTTTTAATAAAATGTTTCATTATTATTATCATCTAAGTCTAAGTCGTTTAATTACTTTTTAGTTTTTTAATAATTAATTTAATTTATTCTAGTCATTTTTATATGAGAAAAAATAATATCACGTTTTATAATGAATTAATATATTTCGGGAACCGAATTATATATTCTTAATAATATTAAAGTGTTAAAAATTATATTTGACTTTTAATTTTAATTATTTTTAGCAAAGAGTTCCGAAATCTCTTACACACATAATGGGGATTTTTTTCATCCATATAATTCGCAATTAAGTATATATGTTAATTATTAATTTTAATAAAATAAAAATTAAAATTAAAGGTCAAATATAATTTTTAAACACAAATATATTAAATTAATTATAAAACGTATACCCATGATAGTATTTTTCTCGTACAAAAATAATTAGAGTAAATTAAATTAATCATAAAAGATTAAAAATTAATTAAAGAATTTAAACTTATATTTTATATAATAATAATAAAACATTTTATTACGTCAAACCGTCGTGAAATAATTAAATAAAATTTGCTAGTTACGTCAAAGTCAAGTTTTCTAAGCTTATAAAACATTTTATTAAAAAACAGATTCAATAAATATAAGTACATGTTATATATATACTTATATTTATTGAATCTGTTTTTTTTATAAAATGTTTTATTATTATCATATATAATATAAATTATTTAATTATTTTTTTATTTTTTTATGAGTAATTTAATTTATTCTAGTTATTTTTGTACGAGAAAAATACTATCACGGGTATACGTTTTATAACGAATTAAATATATTTATGTTCAAAAATTATATTTGACCTTTAATTTTAATTTTGTATTTTATTAAAATTAATAATTAACATATATACTTAATTGCGAATTATATGGATGAACAAAATCCTATTATGTGTGTAAGAGATTTCGGAACTCTTTGCTAAAATAATTAAAATTAAAAGTCAAATATAATTTTTGAACACTTTTATATTATTAAAAATATATAATTCGACTCTCGAAATATATTAATTCATTATAAAACGTATACGTATTAGTATTTTTCACATATTAAAATGATTAGAATAAATTAAATTAATTATTAAAAAACTAAAAATTAATTAAACGACTTAGACTTAGATGATAATAATAATGAAACATTTATTAAAAAATAATTATAATAGGTCAGGTTAATATTTTATTTATTTATTTATTTATTTATTTATAACATCATAAAATTCTGTCCTTTCCGAAATACGCGAACGCTACGAAAAGATAAATCTCGTACATGCCGCCGGACGAGTTCATGAGCATGAGACGCTCTTATCTTGGGAACGTATTAATAGTTACTGCATTGACCACTACTACGATATGGCGCTGAAATCAGTGAGAAATGCTGGTCTCTCCTTCATCCAGACCTTTGGCGATCTGTCTATTAAGGGTCGACAGGCGACATGGTGGAGACGCCTATCGGCCGGCCGGGATTACGGATTCGTTCATCCCATATATTAGCCAAAATACTTAATGAATCTTATTAAATTTACGATATTCTTAATCAGTAGGATTGTCCGCAGGGAGACAAAGATCGATTTTTTGGAAAAAAGATAAATATAAAATTCATAATATAACTTGGGAAGATGCGCAGCTAGCAGCGGGTAAGGTTGGGTTAGCCACGAGATCGTATTTAATTTATTATAAATTTTTAAGAGCAATAATGCAAAATTTGACTCTTTGTCTCCCTGCTTTATTATATAAAGAATATATTAAAAAATATTTCACGAAGCTACGTAACTTCTTTTTATGTAATATTTGGGATGAACAAATCTCACTAGATCTATACTCATGGGGAAATTTTCGTGGTAACATACTGACAGCTTGACAAGGAGAGAGTATCATTCTATCTTTGTCTCTCTTGCATTTGATATGTGTAAAATCAGTATAAATACAAAAACCAATATATTACGCACACGAATGAGAAATATTTTACATCTGCTCATTATATATAAAAATATAAAAGTAATGCAAATTAAATTTCACATTTATTTATAATAGTATTGTGAGGTAGTAACACATATGGAAATCTTATAAGATAAATGCTGTACATCGATTAGCGTAATATTATGATTACAAGTCGCAATAAATGATTTTGCTAATATATTATTTTGAATAAAAATTTTATAAAAACAAATAAAAATAAAATGAATAAATTTTATTCATTCTTTGTTTTTTTCTATTATTTTTTCTATTATTTTTTCTATTATTTGAATAAAAGGCGTATCGTATGTAATAGATAAATAATAATTTATATATATGTATATATTGAAATTATATATATATATATATATATATATAAATTTCAAAACGTATAATTATATATTTATAT